AAAAATACTGCACACAGTAGATAATAAATGTGTACAAGAGAAAATATTACTTCAGGTTGGAGAGAATGGGAAACAAGAATAAATATATAAATAATAAACACAGAAATGAACGATAACACGAGTCGTATGGATCACAGAAAGAACAAAAATTTGACACTAGGACACGAGAGTCTCAGAATAACATAAACAAAAAATTCACTGTTAGATGTAGAAAATATCTCAACACATGCAAATGTCTCAGTATAAACAAAATGTCTCTATAATGGCTTGACTGAAGAACTGGAAGCGACGGCAGCAGGAGGGGGTTGGTATAAGCCTGGTATATGAGTAGATGAATGACATACCTGGTTGATGGTGTCAGGTTTTGTGGTGGTGACGGGCTGGTACTCCACACTAACACTCACGGGTTAATAAGCCTGGGTGGCTTGATAAGCCACACTGTGCCACTAGGATGGTGATTTTCTCTCTGACCAGTGTTTTACTGGTAGCACAGAGTGGTAAAGCATATGGAGACAATAACTTCAAAATTGATCTTGCTAGGCTTACTTCTCTCTCAACTGGGTTATAAAGCTGGCTTAAACGCTCGAAACTGGCTAGGCTGGGATGGCTTCAATGCTTGTAACTATGCACACATCAACCAGATAACTGCTGCAGCATACGGGCGCCTTGTAAACCTGAGAATAGAGTTCCGATACCGTAGTAAGGAATCGTTCAAGACACTGTACACTGTGTACGTCAGGGCCATACTGGAGTATGCAGCACCAGTTTGGAACCCACACCTGGCCAAGCACTTCAAGAAATTAGAGAAAGTACAAAGGTTTGCAACAAGGCTAGTTCCGGAGCTCAGGGGTATGTCCTACGAAGAAAGATTGAGGAAATCGGACTGACGACACTGGAGGACAGGAGGGTCAGGGGAGACATGATAACGACATACAAGATGCTGCGTGGAATAGACACGGTGGACAGAGACAGGATATTCCAGAGATGGAACACAGAAACAAGGGGTCACAGTTGGAAACTGAAGACTCAGACGAGTCACAGGGATTTTAGGAAGCATTTTTTTCAGTCATAGAGTCGTCAGGAAGTGGAATAGCCTAGCATATGATGTAGTGGAGGCAGGAACCATACATAGCTTTAAGACGATGTATAACAAAGCTCAGGAAGCAGAGAGAGGACCTAGTAGCGATCAGTGAAGAGGCAGAGCCAGGAGCTGAGTCTCGACCCCTGAAACCACAATTAGGTGAGTACAGCAGTAATGAAGCAGGCTGGGTGACTTAGGCTCTCCCCTACAGACTGGCTTAAGTGACTTGGCTTAATCTGCAAAACCCAGATCAACTCGTAGGTTAGCAAATAAGCACAAAACTAACCAGGAAGTTGCATGAACAAGGTCGGATGCTGACTTGGCTTGTAGTGTGGCGTCGTCTGGTGGACTCACGTGGTCACACACACAATGTCCATCTGGCTTGGTAGAATTAGTCTCCTTATATCTGTATAATCTTCAAAATCCTGCCCACACCGCTGTCACCATTTGTCGTGGGGGTTCGTCAGGAGATGTTAGAGTAAGAAATACACACGTTAGATGTATTGGAGGCGTATACTTAAGAGTCTCGAGGATAGCCCAGGCTTGACTGGGTAGTCTAGGCTATGCCTAGCGTGGAACTGCGTGACTGACAGTTGGACCTCTGGTCTAACACTGACGTGTGAGGATCTCGTGACATCATAGCTAGCAAGGAAGGCTATCTATAAAGTAGCTGGGGTTATCTAAGTATACTACACAAGTACACAGTAACACTACTGACACCACTTAGAAATGTGTTATTACCTTAACAAGATGACAGGAGGTCGGGACGCTGAACGTGATCAATATTGTTACAAAGATAACCCACATGTACGAGACTGAAACTTATTACGACGTTTCGCTCCGATTTGGACCATTAACTAGTCACACTGGTAATGGTGACTAGTTAACGGTCCCCTATGTGCGGGTTATTTATGCCTTGTTCTAGTCACGGAATTGTGCCTTTGTTCAATATTCTTTCAGTTCACTCACTTCCACACAACACACACACACACACACACACACACACACACCGACACACACACACACACCACACAATTACACACACAACACACACACGACACAACAGTGTGGAGCACCTGGAACTAACATATATAAAATGCCAACCAGCACCGGATACACGGAAGGCAAATCCTGTGTCACAAACCTTCTGAGTTTTATGATAAAAAACAGATAAGACAAGAGAGAGAGGGGGTGGGTTGATTGCATCTTCTTGGACTGCAAGAAGTCCTTTGACACAGTTCCTCACAAGAGATTATTGCAGAAGCTAAGAGACCAAAAAAAAGAAAAATCAAAAGGGCTCATAAGACAAGGAAGGGCACTGCAAAAGGATCAGAGAATACAGACAGGGACAACAACGAGTCAAGGTACGTAATGGATGATATCACAGTGTGCACCTGTGACAGCGGGTCCCACAGGGTGTCCTATGACCATTCTAATTTTTGGTATATTTTGAACACAACGGAAGGGTTATACTCATAAGTGTCCCCCTGTTTGCAGATGAATGTGAAGTAATGAGGAGAATTAAATCTGATGAGGACCAGGCAGACTTCAAGAGACCTGGCAGAACTGGATGGACACCTGGACCAGCAAATGGCTTCTCGAATTTTAATCCTGCCAAATTCAAAGTCATGAAGATAGGGGAAGGGCACAGAAGACCACAGACAGAGTAAGGCTAGGTTGCCAAAGACTTCAAACCTCACTCATAGAAAAGATCTTGGGTGAGTATAACACCGAGCCGTCTCCGGAAGGCACACATCAATCAGATAACTGCTGCGCATATGGCGCCTGGTCAAACTGAGAACAGCATTCCCCGACACCTTAGTAAGGAATCATTCAATACACTGTAACAAACCGTGTATGTTCAGGCCATACTGGAGTATTGCAGCAACCTTTTTGGGGGAACCGCACTTGATAAAGCACGTCAAAAAGCACGTCAAGAAACTGAAAGTACAAAGGTTTGCAACAAGGTTAGATTTCCAGACTAAGGGACTGTCCTATGAAGAAAGTATTAAGGTGAAATCGGCCTGACGATAACACTGATGCAGGATGGTCGGTAGACTGATAACGACATATAAAATACTGGCGTGGAATAGACAAAGGTGGACAAGGACAGAAGTTCCAGGGAGGGACACAGAAACAAGAGGCCACAATTGGGTAAGTGAAGACACAAATGAATCCAGAGAGGATAGTAGGAAGTATTTCTTCAGTCATAGAGTTGTAAGGCAGTGAATAGCCTAGAAAAATGACGTAAGTGGAGGCAGGAACCATACACAGTTTTAAGGACGAGGTTTGACTAAAGCTCATGGAGCGGGGAGAGAGAGGGTCTAGTAGCAACAGGTGAAGAGGCGGGGGCAGGAGTCTAGGACTCGACCCCTGCAACCACAAAATAGGTGAGTACACACGACACACACACACACACACACACACCCAATATATATATATATATAAATATATATGATATATAAAATATATATAAAAAGTATATAAATATATATATATATATATATATAAAAATATCATATGCAATAAATGACACAGTAAAACATGTGATTTCCAATAGCAAAACAACCACCTGAAAGAATAGAGAAATTCCAAGCGCTTTCATGACTACTCACATTATCATAGTTTCCTTGATAATGTGAGTATCACGAAAGCGCTTTGTGAATTTCTATATTCTTTCAGAGTGTTGTTTTGCATATATATATATAAATAAATATATATAATGATAATATATATATATATATATAAATATATATATATATATATATAATATATATATCTCTATATATAAATATATATATTATATAATATAAAAGAATATATAATATATATATATATAGATATTATATATATATATATATATATATATATATATATAATGTCGGCCGAAAATTAAAACAGTCAATTAGCAAGAACTCAATTAAAATTAAGTCCTTTCTAAAAATTTTCTCTTATACCTGGAGTTTACCTGAGAGAGTTTCGGGTCAACGCCCCCGCGGGCCCGGTCTGTGACAAGGGACTCTGGTTGGATCAGCGCCTGATCAACCATGCTGTTGCTGCTGCAGCACGCAAAAACCAACGTACGAGCCACACCCGCTGATCATGAACAGACTTAGGTGCTTTCATGCCAGCTTGAAGACTGCCAGGGTCCCCTTGTTGGTAATCCCCTTAATTGTGCTGGGAGGCAGTTGAACATCTCGGTCCCTGACACTTAATGTATGGTCTCTTAACGTGCTATAGTGACACGCCCTGCTTTTTCTTGGGGGGATGGTGCATCGTCTCCCAAGTTTTTTGCTTTCGTAGGGGTGATTTTGTGTGCAAGTTCGGGTACATCCCTCGGGTTTTTCCGGTGATATAACATGTATCTCCCCTCCTGCTTCCGGGGAAACAGGTTTAGAAACCTCAACGCCCCAGTAATTGAGGTTTTTAAATCTCGTTATGCGCGCCGTGAAAGTTCTTGTACATTTTCTAGGTCGGCAATTTCACCTCCTTGAAAGGGCGTTGAGTGCAGCAATACTTTAAGAATTTTTTTTTTCATTAAGTTAAGTAAAAAATTTTTTAATTTTTTGCACCAAAAGAATCTTAAAAACTTACCTAACCTTATTAAACAAGAACATTTATTTTACCCTAACCCAACTAAATTATTTTAGATTTTTTACGTAATTTAATACAAACAAACACATGAAATATTTTTTTTTTCGTTGGGTCAGAAGATTTGGCGAAATTATTGCATACACAAATTTTCATTGTCCTAAGAAAGATGAGCGTTGCTATTTAAGCCAAGATCGCAAATTTGCCCATTCGGCACGAATATAAATATATATATATAAATTATATATTATATATATATTTAAAAATATAATAAATATGATGATGATGTAGTACAATGAAGATTTGTTTTGGGAGAGAAAATGCAGCAATATTGGGGGCCCGAAAAAGTGACAAGAAGGGGCTGGATTACGTCATGAAGACTGCGTAAGACACTACAAAAATTTCAAAAACATCCCGGGGAACATCACTCGCACCTTCCACCTCCTAGGGTAAACCACTCGACAAAAAATTCCCCTAGCCTTTTCTAACCCATCATATCTCACAGAATTGTAACAAAAATTTCTTTTCCCTAATTTCACATAAAAGGTGCCCAAATGATCCTTTTTAATCAAGACGCTTCGATGCTGGTAAAGGGCTCGTGATCCAGGGAATTAGTTACCTTCTCTTTCCTCAGATCCCATTGTGATGGAGGTACAGTAAGCTTATGAGTTGAGCTCTGTCCCAGTACTATGTTATCATTAACTTGAAGCTGAGTACAGGTCAAGTTAAGAGTGTTTTAGCAGTAGCAGTAGTAGTAGCAGCAGTAGTAATAAAAGTAGTAGCAGCAGCAGCAGCAGCAGTAGTAGTAGTAGTAGTAGTAGTAGTAGTAGTAGTAGTAGTAGTAGTAGTAGTAGTAGTAGCAGCAGCAGCAGTAGTAGTAGTAGTAGTAGTAATAGTAGTAGTAGTAGTAGTAGTAGTAGCAGTAGTAATAGAAGTAGTAGTAGCAGCAGCAGCAGCAGCAGCAGTAGTAGTAGTAGTAGTAGTAATAGTAGTAGTAGTAGTAGTAGCAGTAGTAGTAATAGAAGTAGTAGTAGCAGCAGTAGTAATAGAAGTAGCAGTAACAGTAGTAGTAGTAGTAGTACTAGTAGTAGTAGTAGTAGCAGCAGCAGTAGCAGCAGTAATAGAAGTAGTAGCAGCAGCAGTAGTAGTAGTAGTAACAATAGTAGTAGAAGTAGCAGTAGTAGTAGTAATAATAATGTAGTAGTAGCAGTAGTAGTAGTAATAATAGTAGTAGTAGTAACAATAGTAGTAGAAGTAGCATTAGTAGTAGTAGTAATAGTAGTTGTAGTAGTAATAGTAGTTGTAGTAGTAATAGTAGTTGTAGTAGTAATAGTAGTTGTAGTAGTAATAGTAGTTGTAGTAGTAATAGTAGTAATAGCAGTAGTAGTAAGAGCAGTATTAGTAATAGTAGTAGTAGTAGTAGTAGTAATAATAATAATAATAATAATAATAATAATAATAATAATAATAATAGTAGTAATAGTGGTAGTAAAAATAGTAGTAGTAGTAATAGTAGTTATAATAATAGTAGTAGTAGTAATAGTAGTAATAATAGTAGTAGTGTTAATAGTAGTATTAGTAGTAGTAGTAGTAGCAGTAACAGTAATAGTAGTAGTAGTAATAGTAGTAGTAGTAATAGTAGTAGTAGTAATAGTAGTAGTAGTAATAGTAGTAATAGTAGTAGTAGCAGTAACAGTAGTAGTAATAGTAGTAGTAGCAGTAGTAGTAATAGTAATAATAGTATATGGTTGTGTAGTATCAGGTAATAAGACAATCAGTAACTGCTGCGTGAAGCCACTCAGATATCACCTAACAAGCTGCACAATGATTGTTACTCTAACAATTCAAGTCATTAAATGTTTCTTTTAAGTAATGTTTTCACTCTTACGTATGTCTTTCACCTATTAAGTTACATTATATTTAAAAATATTAAATAACTTCGGATAAGAGAGCTCTTATAAGCGGATGACAACATTTTCTCTGATATCTTGACCGAGAAATTGATTTTGATGTCCACATTATTATGTTTTGACTTAATATATATAAATTGTATATTAATATTGTTACAAAAAACGCGATTCTAAAAGCTTAGAGATCTCCAGGTAATACTAGAAAGGACTGCCCTTCTAGCATCCAGCCTGTTACTGGGTTTTCGTAACAAGTAGTCAGTATCCTTGTCCAATTATCCATTAAATTCAGGATGATTCAATAGTGCTTCAGGATTACAACTGGTAGGCTACTAACTAGAGAAATTAAAATTTAATAAATTTATTAAGTCTAGAGGTATATTATCAAATTAAATTAAATTAAATTAATCACAGTAATCAAAATAATATCACATCTCTCGAGTTCAATATTATTGTGCTGAAAGCACATATCACATTTATAATACTTAAGTACCGTCTGGTACATTAACATTTAATAAGATATTACAAATATGTACAAGTAAGTTTGTGTAAGCGTGTAAGTGCTCTAAGTAGTTCACTATGTCTCACGACTCGACTAGACTTAAACAAGTGACTGACAAAGTCCTCACATAAACTAACTTCTTGACCGACTTGCAACCAGAACAGTCTGCTTGAACAATGAAAAGAATGCTAAGCCCAATAGCCATATAACAAGCGACTGCGACACAATCAGGATCAAGGAGATAATATAAAGACACTAATTAGGGACCATCAGCAGATCCTCCACAAAAGTTACAAAACTCCCATACTACTGAATCTAAGTTCAGCATAGGAAAAACCCTGACTGACAATACACAGAAACCAGTACAAAATTAGGTCAGAAGCTATAGCTAAGGACCTGAGATGTTCAGAGTGTCTATGTGACACACAACCTCAGTACAACGTAGAAAATCACTAAGTCTATACAATGTTCTGTGAACAGAGTTCTACAGAACTAACAAGAATAATGAGACAGACAATCTGTCCAACCACCAAGCGAGTCTAGAGCAGACTGAATACTTCACGAGAGGTGAGGACACCCCCCCTCGATCACGTGATAGCCCCGTGGACAGCACAGCTCAGAAGCCGGCAGTATAACAAGCGACAAGGGATAATTACAGTAGTTTGACAATCAAGACTTGAACTGAGCACATATTATGTACATCCTAACAACATAAGTCAAATAAGAATATAAAGCAATATATTTACGATTTAGCTATTATCGCAAATATAAGCAATATAAAATTATATGAAAAGATAATATACATTATATATATACATAATAATCATTGTAACCCATTCAGGGGTTGCAACAATATTAATAGGAAAAAATCTGCCCTGGTATTCTAACATTGTGCTAAAAGATAATACAATAGTTTGTTGTATTTATAAGACGATATACACACCGTCAGATGTATTTCTCTCAGCGTATATACACAGAGTTTATATTAATTACATTTATATGAATCAAAGTATTCTTGTCTGGTGGTGACATGGTTACGTGCAGCCTTAATAACACTAGTGTAGTCGACAGGCTTGAAACTCACATACCAACTATTCATATCCTGTCTAGAAGTTGTCAATATTGACGGTGTTTATAATAAAATTTCAACGTTTGATATACCATACCAGGTGAAGCAGAGTGTGGGCACTCCAGCAGAGTGTGAACACTCCAGCAGAGTGTGGGCACTCCAGCAGAGTGTGGGCACTCCAGCAGAGTGTGGACACTCCAGCAGAGTGTGGGCACTCCAGCAGAGTGTGGACACTCCAGCAGAGTGTGGGCACTCCAGCAGAGTGTGGGCACTCCAGCAGAGTGTGGGCACTCCAGCAGAGTGTGGGCACTCCAGCAGAGTGTGGACACTCCAGCAGTGTGTGGACACTCCAGCAGAGTGTGGACACTCCAGCAGAGTGTGGGCACTCCAGCAGAGTGTGGGCACTCCAGCAGAGTGTGGGCACTCCAGCAGAGTGTGGTCACTCCAGCAGAGTGTGGGCACTCCAGCAGAGTGTGGGCACTCCAGCAGAGTGTGGGCACTCCAGCAGAGTGTGGGCACTCCAGCAGAGTGTGGCACTCCAGCAGAGTGTGGGACACTCCAGCAGTGTGTGGACACTCGAGCAGAGTGTGGGCACTCCAGCAGAGTGTGGGCACTCCAGTAGAGTGTGGGCACTCCAGCAGTGTGTGGACACTCCAGCAGAGTGTGGGCACTCCAGCAGAGTGTGGGCACTCCAGCAGAGTGTGGGCACTCCAGCAGAGTGTGGACACTCCAGCAGTGTGTGGACACTCCAGCAGAGTGTGGGCACTCCAGCAGAGTGTGGACACTCCAGCAGAGTGTGGACACTCCAGCAGTGTGTGGACACTCCAGCAGAGTGTGGGCACTCCAGCAGAGTGTGGGCACTCCAGCAGAGTGTGGACACTCCAGCAGTGTGTGGACACTCCAGCAGTGTGTGGACACTCCAGCAGTGTGTGGGCACTCCAGCAGAGTGTGGACACTCCAGCAGAGTGTGGACACTCCAGCAGAGTGTGGGCACTCCAGCAGTGTGTGGACACTCCAGCAGTGTGTGGACACTCCAGCAGTGTGTGGACACTCCAGCAGAGTGTGGGCACTCCAGCAGAGTGTGGACACTCCAGAAAGTGTGTGGACACTCCAGCAGTGTGTGGACACTCCAGCAGTGTGTGGGCACTCCAGCAGAGTGTGGACACTCCAGCAGAGTGTGGACACTCCAGCAGAGTGTGGGCACTCCAGCAGTGTGTGGACACTCCAGCAGTGTGTGGACACTCCAGCAGTGTGTGGACACTCCAGCAGAGTGTGGACACTCCAGCAGTGTGTGGACACTCCAGCAGTGTGTGGACACTCCAGCAGAGTGTGGACACTCCAGGAGAGTGTGGACACTCCAGCAGAGTGTGGACACTCCAGCAGAGTGTGGGCACTCCAGCAGAGTGTGGGCACTCCAGCAGAGTGTGGGCACTCCAGCAGAGTGTGGACACTCCAGCAGAGTGTGGACACTCCAGCAGTGTGTGGACACTCCAGCAGAGTGTGGACACTCCAGCAGTGTGTGGACACTCCAGCAGTGTGTGGACACTCCAGCAGAGTGTGGACACTCCAGCAGAGTGTGGACACTCCAGCAGAGTGTGGACACTCCAGCAGAGTGTGGACACTCCAGCAGTGTGTGGACACTCCAGCAGTGTGTGGACACTCCAGCAGAGTGTGGGCACTCCAGCAGAGTGTGGACACTCCAGCAGAGTGTGGACACTCCAGCAGAGTGTGGACACTCCAGTAGAGTGTGGACACTCCAGCAGTGTGTGAACACTCCAGCAGAGTGTGGGCACTCCAGCAGAGTGTGGGCACTCCATCTCACTCGCTGTTAACTCACACTATATCATCAC